CTTTGTTTTAATACCAGTATAATAATGCTTAAAATAAATTAAATCAAGAAAATAATGTTGTATATTCTATTTATTATTGATATAATGAATAATTATTTTTAGATAAGCTTGATTTATAATTAAAGTTCAAACTTCAGTAGTAAGAAATACTTTTATTAAGAGATTTTTAAGTTCATCTGTAACCAAAAAATGATGATCTGTGAATCTATTAATTATTTATTTTTGCAAATATTGATGTAATGATAAAATATATCTTTAATCTAGAATATTACATAATTTTCTAAATTAAAAACTTTTTATAATAGAAAATGGTATTGAGATCCAATAACAAAATGAATAATGATATTTGTGTAATATTTAATTTTTATTACATTAAATTTTCTATATAGATTTTTAACAAAAAGAAGTCACATTTGTTACTTTATTAAAATATTATATTTATATTTCTTAGATATATAATTTATTAAAGATCACATTGATATTTTAGAACTATACTCTTTTTTATACAAATTACAAACTTTATTCATATTATCATATTTTTTATACATATATTTTCAAACAACTGAAGTAGTTTTTTCTTTATTCTTATCGATATTTAATATATTTATACTATTTTCTTTTTGTCATTTAAAAACAGATAGTTTATTTATATCATCATCAAAATCAAAATCAAAATCAAAGTCTTCTATTTCTTTAAATTATATAATTAAAATCTAACATTTCATGTTAAATATAATAATTTAGTATTACTTACTAAAAATGATAATTTAACAACATTGATTCTGATGCTAATTTAAATAATTTTTTTAAAATAAAATTCTTATTAAATATAAATTAAATAATAAAATTGGATTGTTTTTGCAAAATTTTAGTTAAAAAATCATATAAATTTAAAAAAATTGTTAATTATTCAGAAATTTTAATTAGTGGTAAAATTAAGGATAATCAGAAGTGAATTAATAATTATTATCAAAATATTATCATTGAAAATTGTATTTTCTTCTGAAAATGAAAATTTGAAATCATATAAAAATTTAATAATTTTATCAAAATTATAATTATTAGATAATTTTATAAATTGGAATATACATAATATGTAAAATAGAATTATGATTAAATTTATAATAATTAGATAATTTCGACTAAATAGAATTATTCATTTGAAAATATTTCAAATTTTAACATATGTCAATATAATTTTATATAAATTTATAAGTAATTTTTTTCTTTTTCTTTAATTATTAAAAAATTAAATTTAAATAATTTTTAAATTTTTAATTTATCAAAAATGTCAAATAATAATTAATTAGATGATAATGAAGTTAAATTGTTGATCAATGAAAGGAGAAACAGAAACGAAGAATATTAGTTCAATCTAAGAAGATTAAAGTTACCTTTTTAAAAAGATGTTGCAGAGAAGATCAAAGAAGAATTTAATATATAGAAATTATAAATAATCAATATTTTTGTTATTTGAACTTTATGCAAAAGGAAATTCAAAAAGAAGGTAGAGTAAAGTTAGTGAAAAATATAGAGAGCAATTTAAACTTCATTTTAGAAAAAATCTGATAAGTATTTAAAAATGTATTCTGTTTGATATTTATTTTAAAATTTAGTTAAATTCAAACTTTTTATTTTTTAGTTTTTTAAGTAGAAGAAAGAAGATAATCTGAATTAGAGTGCTATAAGTTTTGTTATTAAGTTTCAAATATTTTAAACTTATTTTAAATTAAATTTTAATATTTACTTTACTAAAAGTTTAAATATTTCTCATTCTTCCAATCCTTTTTTTTCACAAAGATCTGCATTATTATAAAGATCTGTCTTTTTACCTTTACCATTTAATACCAAAATATCATCACAAACTGAAAATCCCTTCACATAATTCTTTTTTTTTTTAAACCTAATTATTATTTCAACTATTGATGTTCCTTTTTTTAAAATAAATTTTTAATTATCAATTTTTATAACTAATAATATTCCTTTTTCTTTTTCCATTTCCATCTTTAATTTTTAATTTAATATTCAGTTTTTTTTATAATTTTTTTTCTGATTTTTGTTAAAAAAAAAATTTTTTTTTTCTAAATGAAGCTTGCTACTTCTACATGGTATTTAGAATCAATAATTATAAGCCAATCTATATCTAGCATACTTTAATATTTATAAATTTATTTTATTTGTAATTTTATTTTTTTTTATTTATTTATATATCATTAATATAATAAATAATAGAACTAATAACATGCAAAAACAAAAATTTTATTATTAAAATTCTATTTCATTAGTTTCAAAAACTAATGCTTTTTCAAATTCTTTTTAGATAAATAATGATAAAAATTTTATTATTTAGATTCTTTTAAATAAGTTATCAACTATAATTGAAACTACAGCTGAAATTCAGTTAAACTGTCAGTTAAACTGATGGTTTAACCATATTAAATCACATGATACAAACTGATATTTATTGTGATTCTTAATCTTAAAACTAAATTGAATCAGTTTAGTTATACAATCAGTTTAAAACTAGTTTATCTTTAACCATTAACATCTCTATTTATAAATTATTTAATTTCTTAAAATAAATTTCAAAATAGTTTTAATATAAGAAATTCTTGATTTTAAATTTTTCTGTTTCTCACTAAATATTAAAAGTTCTTTTTCACCTTCATAATATTTAATTCAGTTAAACTAGATTTTTTCATAATATCAATTATATAATTTAAATAATTTACTTTTATTTTTCTGTAAAGTTTTTTAATTATACTAAAATTACTATCATATTTGAATTTGATATGTTTTACAATCATAAATTTAATTCAATACTTTTTAATAATCATAAATTACTAAATATAAATAAAACCAAATTATTACAATATTTATTCTATTTTCTAAGATTATCCCAAATAATCTTTAAATGCTTTTTACATTTATTCAGTTTTTTAATTCCATTAAAAATCATACTAAGAATATTATTAGATTTTTTTTCTATAATTTATTTTTATTAAGAATATAGTTAATCTACTCTTTTACAGCTTTATTTTGAATATCAAATAAATGAACTTTATATAGACTAAGATAATAGATTTTATTTACTTGTTAATCTGAATATAATATATAAATATTTTAGGTTTAATTATAATTATAATAAGTAATAATATCAATGCTACAATATTGTATTTTACTTTTTGATTAACTAATTTTCTTTATTCTTCTACTAATTTGATATTTTTATTATAAATAATATTTTCTAATTTTACATTAGACAAATGTTCTTTAAATTTTTAAATAATTTTTTAACTTTTCTTTTAATAAACATTATAATGTAAATTATTTTAAAAATGTTGATAAATATTATATAAATCAATTCTAGAACTTATAATTTAAATTTTTAATATCAATTGATATATAATTTTCTAAAAAAATTAAATTTTAAGAATTTTAATTTGCTATCTTTTTCTAAACTAGCTAGTAAACTGATTTATAATTTATTTTAATTAGTAAGATACAATCAATTAGATTATTTGATACTTCCTTTTTGAATTTAATAATTTAACTATTTCTGCAATATTTTTATTAATCATCATTTTTGTTTTTCATTAAACATTTTTTTAATATTACTATAAATTCTTAAAGATATTAAATACTTTCTAATATTTCAAAATAAGTTCTACTAATTCTCAGCATATTGAAAGTTTTTTGACAAGTAATTCTAATAATAAAAAATACTTTAATTAGATCAATTTTTCTTTTTAATATATCTATTAATGCTTATTAGTTATTATTTATTACTTTGATTTATATTATTAAAAATACTTTATTTTAAAAAAACTTAAAAAATTTTCTTAATACTGCAAATTCTTTCTTAAAAATTTTTGAAGAGTAATCACAATTGTAACCTATTTTAAGAAATACATATTCAATAGAATTATTATAGTTATTATTTTCATTATTATTTTTCATATACACTTACAGTCCTTAGCAAAAAGAATAGTGGAAAGTTTTTTTTGAATAATAAAAGTTTTTAATAAATAACTTTCAAAATTTTTTTATTCTCAAATGTTTTTAATTAAGGAATTATATACTCAAAAATTAAAATATAAATGTATTCTTCTTCTTTATCAATCTGAATAAAATACAAGTTAAAATACTAAAAAATTAAAAAATTAGTTTTTCTTTATATTAATTTAACTTTATACTTTTTATTTCCTATTTTTTAGTTAGAATATATTATTTCTATTGTAAAATTTTTAGCTAAACATTTTTTATTAGTCGGTAAAGCTCATTAACATAGTAAAATTTTTTGTAATCTTAATTTTAATGATAAAATACTTAAATTTAACCTTATTTTACAATCACAAAAATTTTATTCATATTAAATATATATTACAGATTTCAAATAATACATATAGCATTCAGACTAGTAATATATAAAAATACTATATAATTGTTATATAAATCCTTTCAAAAAAAAATTAATTATATAGTAAAAGATTGCATCACTATTCTTTTTACCAAGAACTATATTCCTATATATAAATTTTATAACTTTAAACTTTAAAAAATATATAATTTCTTTTAAAAAAAAGGTTTGAGTATCCAATTACAATAGAACTGTAATAAATATACTTAAAATATTTTAACAATTTAATTTTATTACTTAAACCAAAAAATAAAAAAAATATTTAATTAATTATAATAAAATTTTTAAAAATAAATGGATAAATACAATAGAAATATGATTAAAGATTTAAAATAAAAAAAAAATAAACCAATTGATAAACAAGCCTAAAAGATAATAAACAAAATAATAAATGTTAACAGAAAATAATTTCAATAAATTAACTCAAAAAAACAAAAAATTGCAAATTTAAATTTGATGAAAAATTATATAATAATTAAAAGATCAAGTTAAATTTGCTAAAAATAATAATCATTATATTTATAATTTCAATCATAATAATTTTAAATGTATACAATTCAATGCAATAAAGATAAATAAACTAAAAACTTAAATTTTGTAGTAAATTTATAGGTATATTAGTCTTTTGATAGCAATCATCTAAATTATTATAAGGACGTTTTTGAATGATTATATTAGCTCGAATTTTTCCAATTCCATTGATTCCTGTTAATTCAGAGAAGGTAGCTCTATTAGCAATAGGTGGAGAATTAATTGCATATCTAAGTGCTCTTCCAGAAAATAGACCAAAATATATATCCCATACATCCTTATCAACAACTCCGGAGAACCAAGTAAGATTTGCAGTACATCTTCCAGTAGTAAATAAAATAAAATAATCCTTTTTATCAGCTGCTTTTTGACGTTCATTTTTAAACATGTTATCATTTACATCTGACTTTACCAACTTGCATTGATGTATTTCAGTGAAGCAAGATCTATTTGAATCAACTCTAATACCACAAAAAGAATCACCAGCAGGAGCATTACAACAATTAATAATACAATATTTACCCTCAAGCACATTGATCTGTCCATTTTCACATTGCACCATTGAATTCTTTAAGGCACTAGAGTTTGTAGGTGTTTGTTTTACTGCTCTTTCTAATATTAATGGCATATTACATATCTTCACATCACCATTAAGGTATGCACCAAAATGTAATTTACTCATGCTGATCACTTCTCCATTTTCATAAACCATTGACTTAAGAACACGGATTTGAGCAACATAATGCTCAAGATGCTGCCAATATTGTGCTCCAGGTGGTACTGTTACATCACCTTTTCCTTGCTGTTCCTCATAATATGTAAAGCGCCAGTTCTTCAGTATTGGATCTCCACTTGTGTGTGCCATTATCCATAACCATACATAAGCACAAGTCAAAAAACCTTGTAATCCTATAGTTTTTTGGAACCAAATTAATCCAAACTGAGTAACATCATCAACTTTGAGTCCATCTGTACCTGGAAAAGGTATTGTACTGTCCACAACTTGATGAGACAGTATTATACGCAGAACAGGAATTAAAATTTGGGATCCTGCAACAATCCACTCGCTATATCGATCTTGTAGTTTTGTTCGTATATCATTAATAAGATCAGTAAAATTGACAACATCTAAATCCTTATAATGTACAAGTACATCTTGCAAGGTCTCTAGTGCACGCCCATGGCCACCCATGTCATTAATCAGCATTTCAATAATAGGATGAGAAGGAAAGACCTGCATCAATACACCATGTTCTCGTTTATATGGAGCTGTTAAATGTGCAGTAGGCAAGAAAATGCGTTTTTAATGAGAAAAACTAAGAAACTTTTCAACAGGACTAGTAATGGTTGCTGCACAGCAAGCAATAACAAATGGTCCTCCTCTCTGACGAGCTATGCCTGATAATACTGTCATACAATTATTGAAAAATGAACTTTTGTTATGAGAATCCTTTCCACCTTGTAAAGCAGTCTGTAATCCATCAACAATCAAAAAAATTGTCATATCCTGACGGGAAATTTTATGATAAATTAATATGAGATTCAACACATCAGAAGGTGAAGCTATATACTTTCGCATAATTGTATCCCAAGCTGTTGTCTTTCCTAATAATTGATGCAACATTCGAAGGGCAATTGCTTGCGTGGGTGCTTTTTCTTCTTTAAGGTTCAAGGGGGTGCCATTTTCAAATGATATATTGAAGACAAATGGTTTCTCTAGTGCCTTCTTCAAATCAGCATTATCTATATCCTCTGCATATTTTTTTGCCAATCTTGGTAGTTCAGTTGCTGTGCGTGATTTACCAGTTCCAGCACCAGAAAGAAGAAAGTAAAGAGGGATATATGTTTTATCTATCTGGCCATTTCTCCAGTATCTATAATGATCAAATAATTCATTTTGAAATATTTCTTTGAATCCAGCTGGTGTTTGAAATTCCCATAAAGCTCCACTTGTTTTTAGTAACATGTCGGGTTCTTGGTAATAAAGACCTTTTGGAAAAGCAGAAGATACATGACAATTATCATTTCCAGCTAGTTAATAACATCAAAACAGTATACAGAATGCAGAAAAAAAAAGCAGGCTAGTTAATGTTGTAAATAGTATACCAAATATTCTCTCAAATCAATCAATAAAATGAATCAATGAATGAATGAACAAAATGATTCATTTAGTTAAGAAACTGGATAATTTTCACTTTACCTGCTGCAACTACTAAAAGAAGAGAAAAAAAAGAAATAAAGACATATAAGTTAGTCAGCGTCGTAATTATGATATGAAATAAAATAAATAAAAGAAATGGAACGAACGGAAAATAATTTTTCGTATATATATTATTTTTTACGCAATTTGTTCATTATTTTTCCTTCGACTTCCCGAAGCTTTTTACTCCACCCTACTATTTCTTCTCCCCACGCCCGAGTCACAAAGTCGTTACCTGCTTCCGGTTCTAAGAGTAACTTTAGATATTGGACTCTCTCCTCGTCGTCCTCACAGGTTGACAGAATAGTAGTAGCTATTGCCTCCTGAGTAGGATTTTTTGTAAAATATTTACGTAAGGCCGCTTTTTCGTCTTTCGCGAGAGCAAGTCGTGAAATTTCTGAAAACAGTTCCATGCTGAGACATGTGCTGCGCGATGTGATCTATGATTTTATGTGATCACATAAATACACATAATTTATGCACAATGATCGTTATGCCCTTTGTGCAACTTCCCCAGCAGCACCAACAAAATCCCAGCACGTGACTTTTTGGCAGGCATTACGACATTAGGTGTAAAGTTATGAATTTAATCTGTGACAAATAAGCGTGACAAATAGGATTTCACATATCGAAAAAGTTCAAAGTCCACAGAATACTTATGAAAATGGGAAATGCGGAAGGTGTGACACGGGATGACAAATATTTTCAAATGTCACGTGCCGGTGATTTTTTTGTTGGTGCAGCTGGGGAAGTCGTCATGTACTTTTTAAAAAATAAATCACATTTTAATGGCGGTGAAAAAATTAATATCAGATAATTTGGTTATGACACCAATAAAATCATCATCCCTGCCTGGATCAGTGGCTTAATCAATGATGATAACTGTCTAATAATCATCCGCAGTTTATTTCGATTTGTGGCGTAATTAAAATAATAAAATATAGGTAAATAATATATATATATATATTTTTTTTTATCACTAAAATAGAATTGGGATTCTGATTTACAAATTAGCATGGCGATTTTAATTAAAAAATATTTTTACTATTATTATTTTATACTTATTTTTTTAATTATTATCAAAAAAAAAGTATGTGGTAATTACTGTAGCTTATCCGCCGCCATTATTATTACCATTATTGTTGTTATCGTTATTTCGATTAAATTTGGCCTTAGATTTATCTTCTTTCGGATTACTTTTCTTATCAATATTCTCTAAGCAATGCCGCTTACGACTTAGTCCAGTACCTATACTTTCTCTGCGCGATTTAATATTTTCTAATCTAATAAAATAAATAGATTATTATGTAAAGGTTATATATTTAAAGATAACCACAACAACTTTACATACGCACTCTAGTAGACCTCCACTTTTTACTATAAATCTTTATGACAGAGTTGCCTTTTGTTTTTGATATTTTTCTGCTTGTGAAAGTTCTTCGTCATTTGATGATCATTTGTCCGAATGAAGATCAGACGTGTTTGGTTTAAATTATATAGATAAAATATTATTATACAG